CCCCATCAAGCCAGACCCCAAAGTGGCAAGAATGTATTCCAAACTCGAAAGCCGCCACCCATCATTATGAGGTGCCCCCCAAATAGCCAGCCAGACACTATATTATACCAACTAACCGAACTCAAAATATTTTCTCACTGCAGTGCTTTGAGCTTGACTTGCCAAACCCAAGCGAGGGCGTCTCTTCCAGCCGTCCTCAGGTTCCACAAACTTGTAAATCCCGCCCTGTGATTGGTGCGCATACCAAGCCGACTTACACGGCAGAACAGGGTTACATCGGTACAATACCACCCTCCTCGAAGGGCAGCACTCCGCGTCAAGTGCTTACCGGTGCATGCAGCCACTAAATAAAATAAAAATCTAGATCGTGCCGTCCTGCAGCTGCACGCATGCAGAAAAAAGAAAGGGGTCCGAGCGGCCGGGTCGAGTATCGAGAGCCAAGCACTGCTGAAAGGCGTAATAGCGTGTATGGGTACGTAATTTCGGGACCAAATACGCTGGTCAACCTCCAGAATAGAAGAGGACCTGATGCTCAGTGAACAGCTTACATGATGACTGATCCTTGACATAACCTCCAAAATCAGCGTTGCAGATACATGGTTCCGCAGGCCGACATGATGACTGTATCCACAAACAGTCAACTCAATAGCTACAACTATCTTGTGGTGGTGGTCTAGGAGAGGCAGAGATGAACAAAACGAAATCCCCACCATAACAATTTCACAGCAGGGTACGCCCGACGAGATTGCTCACTGCTTCATCCCATCTTTGCCGCCAGGTTGATCTCTTATTCCCGTTATCCGAACCTGCCGATCCGATACCGACGGACAAAGAGACCGACGGACAAATCTTGACAGTGAAATTAAATGGGAAAATATCGCTTGGTTAATAAGTCGAAACATGAGCACAAGAAGCCCCCTTTCCATACATTACCGAGGTGTAATGGGTATTTGGTTAGATGAAACGTCCACCGAAAAGTCACTCTCTAGCCAGGAGCTTTGACATCAGCCTGGACGCCGACGTGCTGAGTGAAACGGCTTCTATGCTCAATACAACATGTTAATGACTTGAAGAGCTGCACTGGTCCAATACTGGCGTTTTTGGCACTCTCTTTGGCATGTTATGTCCGTTCCGTCCATTCTGGGAAGAAATATCTGTCAATATTCTCATGTATTGTCTGTCGAACCAGGCTTTTCCAGGCAGTTTGCTCACCTAAAGAGACCATTGCAGAGGGTACCGTTAGAGATTGTTGTGACTCTGTTAGCATTGGTACAATTGGAACAATAAAAATGGTTAGATGGGTTCAAAACCTGCAATGGGCAAGAGATGCGTAAAAGATGAACTGCTTTGAAACAAAGATAGCAGCCGGTGATATACTGAAAATAAAGACGATTGTGAGTACAATGAGGGCATGCAATGATAATGATAGTCCCAAGATCCGAAATGCCATACTAGTACAGAACATGCCGGCGTTGTTGATCCATGTCGTGATAATGGTCAACAATATCAGACAATGATATCCACCGCTCTCGCCTCCAAGCCACAATCAATCACCAACCTTGCTGCCTCGTTGCCCTCACCCGTTCCAAAACACTAGCATCCTCATCGCCCGCCTCACGCGAGGAATACTGAAATGACCGCTCCTCAAGTATGATATACTTGCTGTCCTCGCTGTCGTTTGTGCCGTCGAAATGTGACGACAAGGTCTTTGACCGCTTCGAAGAACCCGCACCAAACGTGACCAGTCCGGATGCGCCATTCCCGCTGTTGGACTTTGCCGAGTTTCCTGACACTGCACCGCCTGATTTTCCTGTGCTTCCTCCCAGCGCAGACGACCCAAAGATCTTCTTCATTAATGGCAGGAGGAGCGGGATGCATGCTGATATCACCACGCTGTTGGCTTCGATACTGTTCAAAAGAGTTAGGAACCGTCCAAGAGGAGGATTAATCAGAGAATTGGCAACATACTTGGTCCACAAGACAACATTCCCCAGTGCGTAGGTGTAATCCTGCAACGTGAGCAAGCCCTGGAAAGTCGTGCACTTGTAAATGGCCACTGCGCCGGCGCTGTCGCATAAAAATCCATCAGCAAAGACATCCTCATACTAAAAGTTTCTCATGGTCCACTGCAACTCACCAGTATCCAAACCCCAGCGAGCTACAAAGAGCAAGCTTCTTCTTGATATTCATCTGCAACCCCCAAAGCACAAAAGTCGGATATGCAGCTAGGTAAAAGTCGTAAATCGCTCCGACAATCCCCAAGGTCATGGCATAGTTGACCACAATCTTCCGATCCATGCAGGTCCCCTTCACGGCCATATCCCACTGCGCCGCAGCAGGCGTGCACTGCCCAAAGTTGAGCGATAACATCGCAACCGTCATGAGGCCGTAGATGACGGAGATGATCCACATAAAGATGATGTGCAGTCGTGGCGGGTTGAGGAGTTTGGCGAGGAGGATGACGACGCCGAATTTGGGTAATACAAACGACGTCACGCCCGGGACGAACGATATCACTGTTAATTTGATGACTTGTGTGGTGTCTTCTGGTTTGAGGGTCATGATGTGCCGCCCGCCGCCGTAGTGCACTGCTGCGCCGCTCATGCCGACGTACCAGATGCCGAGGACCTGGTAACCAATGTTAGCTTGGACTGGGGAATTCTGGGGAAGTTGGGGTATGGGATGTGCATACAATAGAAACAATAATGATCCAGTCATCGAGGGCTATCTTTCCGACTGATATCATCCGACTGTAGATTCGTGCTATGACGAACAAGGTCGCGAGACCTGTCAGGGCCGTCGTGACGACGACGATGAGGGGGCCATTGGTCTCATCTGAGAAGCCCGGGTATGGCTCGACAAAGGGCGGCGGCGGCGGCGGTGGACCTTCGGCGTCCGACATTCTTGCAAGACTGACGTGAATTGCTTTCGGCCGTCAACTTGTCAAGCTTTGTTGTTTGCGTACGTCGTCGAGTTCTCGGTTGGAAACTTGACCATCACAAGGAGCCAAGAAAACAGGGACAGGGGCGGGATCGAGCTTCAAGTACTTGAACCCGACACAACCGTTCGCCCATGAAGGCTGAACGTCGACCGAACCCTGGACTTGGAAAGCTGAGGGTGAGAGCGGTCGATGCCCAGGTACGTTGATCTCGGACTGTAGAGGCTGGCGGGTGACTTGTCTATCTTGTATGAACGGGCCGTGATGATGCTGCGATTGGAAGAGAATCAAGCTTCACAGGGCGTGGTCGTGTCTGTGCGACGGGATCTGAAGGAAAACAAGCTACTGGGAACCTAGGTCCTGGGCTTTGACCTGCAGCGAGCACTGACGTTTTCGGTTTACGAGGAAAGAAAACAGGGCAAGCGCGCGAATGAACTGGCAAGAAGATATGTTTACAATGGCTGATGATTCTCGTTCTGGCCAGCCACAGCTGCACGGACCGAGAGCACTTCCTGTCTCCGATCCTCAATGTGACAGCTCCAGCCATTCCTCGGACGACGGCTTTGAACCAGACCCGGAGGGCCCGTTGTTTTGCTGTCCCAGAGCGAAAGAGCAAGTAGGGTGTGTAACCCCCCGGATCTTGGCGAGCCAACGAGATGAGCGGATTGAGACCCCGCGGCTCATTCACCCTCCATCAGCCGGGCAGCTGGGGAAGATGGTAGGTATTAGGGTCAATGCGTCCAGGTAATCTGCTTCGAGTAAAGCTGCTAGGCAGTTTTCGCTCTTCTGTGGCTTGCCTGCCGCGTGGAAACCCAACGACGGAAGAGGAGGACAACGAGGAAGTAGATCTTTAGTCATTGACAGTCATTGGCAGTCGAGAACTGTGCACAGACAGCCCTAGACATGGCTTTGCAGAATATGGGAAGTCGATTTAGCCTACCGAGGAGTCTGGCCACGGGCAATGAGGGATAATTCGATAAGGAGAGAAGGTCTGCGTTCCACGGGCCAACACAGGAACATGAAGGGTGGATGATGTTATGCCGGTTAAGCTGCACGAGACGTGTTCGAAGCGGACGCGATGTGGTATCCTAATGCTCCGGGTGGCTCCAATTAAGACCAAGAGGCCAATAATTGACGGAATAACGCGGCGTGCATTCCGGAAGTCTGTCCCAAAAGGGACAATGGATGACCAACACGAATTGGCATCGTCGCGGATTCAGTCAAGGTAGAAATGGACAAGAAAGAATCCCTTTGAAGAGGGGTAAAAAAGTTTGACAGGGGCTGAAATGCAGCTAGCAGATCTATGTTCAGAGTCTGGAAAAAAACATCGTAGCCAAGAGATCATGGACCTCGATTGATCGACAAAGACCCCGGCCATGTTGTTGCTTTTGGGACTGGGGGAAAGAACGGACGAACGAGTCTTTGCAGCGATTTGCATGCCAAGATTTTGAGCATCTTGCCGGCATGGGAAGGCCTTCGCCGCAAAACAACCACGGAGGAGAAAAAAAAAGTCATTCTCTAAGTCTCGACAGTCGTCGGCAAGTGTTTTAGTGTTTCGGGTTGTTCAGCTTGTTCTTCCCACGGTCGAGATTCCATTCTCGGCGATAAACAGCACCAGAACCAGCACAATAATACAAATACCGATACCAGGGGTCCTCCTAATGTAAGATCTAATGTAACACCATATCTGGATGTAACTGTAATAAACCAAGCAGCAATTCTGCTTGGCTTTATCCAAGATGAGATGGCGCTAGCTGCAAAGATTGTGTATGAACTTATAAAGTTAACCTGAAACAAATGCAGGCAATTAAATCGCTACGGGGAAGGACCGATGTCAAATCACACCTCGGTCTACAACTCGTGCAAGAAAAAAACACTCACACTAGTGCCCTAATTGTGGACATTGTATTAGCTAAACGCCTCGCTACACTTGCAAGCTTCAGATATACTATAGGCAGATATGCAGGTGAATTGATATGTCGCGGCTTTGAGATACGTCATCAAAACAAAAATACCAATATGAAGCAAAACGTATCGATGTGAGGACAGCTCACATTGTTCACGACGTGGGCCCGGTTCGAACGGACGCCTCCGAAGAGACAAGATCACTCAAATATGGATATTCAAGTCTTGCGCATTAGACCACTCTGCCACCACGCCACTGGTTGTTGTTGTGGGCTCTCACGGGCACGGCCAATGAGCCGCCGAGTGGAGAAGCATGTGGATTTGCCCGAGTCAGAATCAGCAGTAGGAAGTCCCGACCCGGCACACTGGAATCGACGGTCAACCACCGGCCCGAGATCAAGAACTTTGTGTTGGTGGATCCGTCCTTCATCGTCCCCAGTACGGTAACACCGAACCTGATGCCTCAATTCCAAGCCGCAATCCAGCCGATCATGTCTCGACAAGCTAGATCCTTCCTGCCCCCCAAGCAATCCATCCTCCATCGCTCCAGCCAGACAGCCTTCCAATCTCTAACCATTCCTTCCAAATAATATCCATCCCTCCCAAACCGAACCCTCAATCCAAATCCTTCCGCATAGCAACAGCCACAAACAGAATCTCCTTCCCATCCTGTCCGTAAAACCCAGTATTATAACTCGGCTTCTCCCCGACGTACTTGAACCCCATACTCGCATACCAAGCCTGGTTACTTCTTCCCCGTTCCGGCATAGGCAATCCCATCTTAGCATGAACCTTTTCCGCAAAAGGTCTCCATTCCTCCGACGAATCATTGTCTATATACCTTCCACTCAAACAATTCAGCGTCAAGGCCTTGATTTCTGGCCCTCCATAGGGCGGGACTTTGGCGAGGGACTCGATTGCGCTCATTGCTTTTCGTCCGAGACCTACGGTTCGGTATTCGGGGAGGATGAAGAGGGATCCTATGTATTGGACTTTATCTGGGGGGTTACCGTTGGTTTCGCCGGCGCCGGGGAGGAAAGAGTGGTTGGGGTCGTCGAGGCGGGATGTGGTGATGTGTCCTGCGTAGATAACATTTTGTTTCTGTCCTTCTGTTTCGAGAGGCGAGTCTGAGCAAGGGTGGAGAATCCAAAAGAAGTACTGCTTCCCCACGTCAATCTCTGAGCGCCAGGTTACGAGGTCTTCGACTGTCATGGACCAACCGCAGATTTTGCGCTGGCGGAGGAGCTCGTCGAATTGGGATTGGGAGTGCAGGTTGATGGGTTCGAGCAGGGGATGAGGACGGGCAGTCCTGCCAGTACTGTCATCTGGATTCGCCATTGCAGTCTTGAACGGTAAGGGCGGATGAGGGGTTGACCTTTGTTGTGTCTCGCTGTTCTTTGTTGCTACTCGGAGGGTTTGCTGAATCAGAGCTGGAGTTTTGTTGACATCAATTCAGGGGCTGGTGTAAGCGGGACTGGCAGCTGTTGATGCTTATATAATATTTGAGCTGACCACACGCCTTGTGGAAGACAACAAAATGACATCGAGTTGACAATTGACAATTGACATGTGGCACGCGCAATTCACGCAGTGGACGGGAGGTTGGAGAACAAAGGCACCTGCTTGATTAGGAATAGTGGCTGTGCATGGACCGGAGATCTTCGACGTATTTCCTCGTATCTCCGTATCCGAACTTCAATCCCAACAGCAGAAGAGCCACTGCATGGCCATGAGCAATTCACCATTACGGTGATACGATTGGAACGCCCTGAAGAAAGATGATCCGCCATTACTCGCTCCTCGACCGTCGGCCGTGGCTGTCAAGATTAAGCCGGCGGCAGGAACGACGCAAACAGGCCACCCTGCACCACCGCATAAATGACCATAAATGCCACAAAGTTTCTAGCAAATGGTGTGCGCTTCGAAAAGCCGACCGCAAGGAACCAAATCCAGACGGGCGAAGCCGAAGATATTCGGTTGATGATTTGTGCATGGGCGGTCGTCAATGTGTACACTCCCAAGAGTAACTGGATAACGGCCAGGTTGCGGAGCACTTGGCGACCCCTTTCGTCCGGGAGACTTTGACTCTTGACGGCCTTGGTGTCGCTGCCAAATGGGCCGCCTCCAAGAGCCCAGAGTCCAGAGACGCCCATGATGATGAACATCGGGGCTCCAAGGACAAAGAGGGGGAGATTGGACAATGTCCAGTAATTGAAGAGCCCGTTATTCCTACAGTACTGTTAATACCAGCTGCAGCCTGTGGGGAAGGGAAGGATGTACCAATAATGAGCCTGGACAAAGACATAGACGCTGGGGAATGTCCACCCACACCAAGGCCTGCTGGATGGATCACTGCAGTATTCCGAATACGCAATGTATTGCGGAAACAGGAACCCGAAGGCGACAGCCAACCCACCAAGTCCCGTGGCCACCAAACGGCAAACAGTACTCAGACTGAAACCCTGCATCAAAGTGAACAGCGTTCTGAACGCCTCCTCCAGCAGCAGAAGCCCACTGAGGAGCCCATTGCTCCGAAAGGCCGTGGCGAGACCAAGCACCAACCCCGACGCAAATACCAGCAAGTCCTTGGAAACAGAACTTGGTCCAAGACTCTTTGAGAAAAGGAGACATCCGGCAAAGGTAAGAAATGCGCAAGAGCTCTCCGCATATGGGGCCGACAAGAAAAGGCCAGCCGGGGAAAGGATATGCAGTGCAGCAGCAGTGAAGGCTGTTCCCACAGCACCAGAAAACACTGAAAGCGTGAGGTGGTAAAGCACGATAACCGACAACAAATGAGAGACGATCGCGATGACGATCGCGATGGCGGCCTCAAGACCTTCGTACTCCGGGACGCCAAGCTTTTGTATTGCTGCACACAAGCCAGTCAATCTCAGCTTGCGACACGAAACAAGAATGATGCAGACTCACCAGCAGTGCACAGAGTGATCAATCGAGTGAATCCCCATCCCCAGGCCCACTCCTGTTCATATTTGTAGCCCCGTGCGGCCACCTTGACAAAGTAGATGGCATCCCATCGGGTGAGTTTGTCGATTACGTAAGTCAGGGGCGCTGCGAGTTGGTAATTCCGCGTCGCGAGTGTTGTTGACGTGTCATATCCTGGACCGGGGCTGCAAAGCGCGACGAGGAGGAGAAAAATTTTCCATGATATAAAAAGAGTTATTAAGGATTGAATGGGATGAGATAGGACTTTGGACTTCATGATTCAATGTTTGTGGCTCGGAGCGCCGCTTTGCCATTGTCGATGGTGGTGACGCACATGGTGAGTTGAGACGGCGAAGATTTGGCGACACGGAAGATGGCCCATCGAGGATTTCAGTGATTGGTCCGGAGAAACCCGTCATGGTCGACAAACGCCAAGCCAGAACCCTAACCCTCGCGGCACCACCGCAACTGAGGTTATGCTTATACCGTGATATCATGGAATTATTGAGGGTATGAAAGCAACTGGGTCCGCCTACTTTTCATTCGTAGTATTCCTAATATTCTGCATTGCCTCAAACTGGTTCTATTCGACTTGGGCTCGATTGCTCTGGTCTTTCTAGACACCCTGTTTAACTGCCTCAGACCAAGCCCCTAACAACATCAACCAAGCCCCCCATCCCACCCTCTAGCACGAACTCAAACTCCCCGTCCTTCTTAATCTTCTCCAAATCTTCATCAACATCATCCGTCCAACGCGGAACATAAACGGTCTTCATACCCACTTGCTTCGCGCCCCTAAGATCATACGCATGTGCGGCAACCACGACTACCTCTTCCGGCCTCAACTTGACCAGTTCCAACCCCTTGAGATATGCCTCTCTGGCAGGCTTATACACGCCCAGCAATTGACTCGAGAATAGCATGTCAAAGTATTTCCCCAGCCCCGATGAACGCACAAGATCGAGCTGAAGTCTAGTGGTCCCGTTCGCATGGACAAACACTTCCAGATGTGGAAATTCCGCCCTAATAGTCGACAAAGCAGGTGATACATCCTCCCAGGCAGGCTGGTTATGCCATGCTTTGATCATGCTTTTTGCATTAGAGGTTTCGCTGTCTGAGAAGTCAAACGAGCCCTTTTTGTCGGCAGACAGGTATTGATGCTCATTCACGATTTTTTGTAAGGTGCGGAATAAAGTGATGTCGATATCTTCCGGCGCAAGATTCTGCGAGAGACGGTTCTGGTTGGAGATGAAATATTGTCTGCGCCATTCGAGAGCCAAATCGGAGGCTTCGCGCTCAGAGAGGGATTCAGGGAGCGAGGCGGAGACGGAGGCGTGCCAGTTTAGACATGTGCCCATGAAGTCGAAGAATGTCGCCTTGATTCGAGGGGGTGGTTCCTCGACGGATGACATGATTCCTGTTGCCCTTGGAGGTTGTTTTCGTTTCTCCAGGATTTAGAGACTTTCGAGATGTGTATAACGAAAAGACGAGAAGGAAGAAAACAAGGACAGAACAGTTAGAATGGGACGTTGAGCCTATTTTATGTCCGTTTGTGTCCGGCACAACCTGTCTTCTCTAGGGTTGACCGGAATGATGTCATTGGTTGATAATATTCGCTGTTTAACCGTATACGCCTCGTATTCAAATTTTCAAGGCCCTATATACTTCTCTCACCATGCGTATTTATAATCCCTTTAATACATATAAGAGATTAATTATAACTATACGTATAATGGGATTATTAAAGGCGTATGAACTGCATCTTATACCCCATCGTTTGAGACAGTTGTGAGCCATGGAGGGTACGGATGTACATTAGTGTGAATTACAAATCAGGAAGTTCGATGATTGGCTGAGCTTCAAGGGCGCTAGGTCACACTGTTGTTGACGAAGGGCGTATCCGCAGATCTTTGACATCTGATATTCCATAAAAGTAGGGAGCATGTCCAATCTCTAGCCGTATACATCGGAGTATGGGTTCGTTATTGTTCCAGTTACGAAAGTCTATATAGTGACATTTTACTTTGACCAATAACGATAATGCTGGGATTAAGTGCTTCCTGTTTCGTCTTATATAAAGTGTAGAAGTGAGGAGAGGAATAATAACGGGGACACCTGTTAAGAGGTGGCGCTACAACTGTGCCCCTTTTCATGCAGGCAGCAATGGTGCTTGGCGCGACCGAAAAGATCAGCCATTTACGTGCCACACTGGTACTCGTGATATCAACCTCACCACCTATGTTACCTTCCGCCACCGTGAGGCCCACAAATGCCCCAGCATGTGGCTGATCAACACAAAAACGTTCAAGCTG